CCGTGTCCTCAAGATAACAAAACAACGTAGCGAGTGCAGGCGCTTTGAAATGATTTATTTTCCCCATAAGGACATAGCCGAAGATTGTATTAATTGCGTCGGGCTGGTCTTTAGATCCAGGGATGCGTCCGTCCAACAGAATTTTAGAAAAGACGTCGGCACCCAGAAGGAGGTCTATAGGTCCCCTGCGGAAAAATTGGTCATCGTATAAATTAGTTAAGTGGGACCAGTGACTATGTTTAATATCCAAAGCAGGCTGGTCTTCGCAAATTTTTTTCAGAATTAAAGCGTCAGTGGTTAAAACAGGATGAGTTTGATACATCGGTCGAAAATATATAGTTACTCCACCTAAATCCGCTTGCGAATGCATGGCGCCTAACCCGTTTATACGAACCTCTAGGGGAGACGGTCGTAAACCTAACCGGCTAACTGTTTTTTGAGTTATGAATGACGACATACTTCTTGAATCGAGTAAGCATCGTATCGGCTGGTAGATTCCGCGGCCGTCGAGTATTTCGACAAAAGCAGTGGAAAGTAAAACGCTCGAATTGGCTGAAGAAAAACCTGCAGTTACGGTCGATGGATTTATGTGGTCAGAGAGCTTAAGCGAATCATTGTTAGCGGGGGGTGACTGAAAGTGAAGTAATGTGTGATGTTTTTTGTGGCACATATGACAACTCCACGTAGAGGTACAGGTACTAAAACGGTGAGAACCTAAACAATTTACGCACATTTTTCCCCTCTTAACCAGATTGTAGCGCTCTGCGGGAGATTTTTCCAAAAACTCGCTGCATTTATAAATAAAATGAGAATTTTTACAAACAGGACATTTTAGTGGATTTTCAGTTTGAGCCAGCATTGCTGTAGATTTGGAGAAAGTTGGCTTTTTGAGAAAAATTTGCTTTGTTTTAGTTTGAAAATTAATATGGTCCAACGCCAGACAATTTTTACTTAAAAATTGCCTTAATTTAGCATAACTTGGAATAGTACTGTCGTTGTGATGAAGTTCAAATCGTGTAACTAGAGAAACCGTGAGTCTTTTCAGCATCATTTGAACAAGTATAAAATCCCAGTGTTCCGTGGGTAACCCTAGTTTTTGCAAAGCTGCGACTTTTTTGAAAACGTATCTAATAAAGAGCGTAACTCTTTTGAATTATCTGAGGTAAGTTTGGGTGAGCTTTCGAGGTTATTCCATAAATTTGAAGCAATAACTCTCACATTATTGAACCTTTCTTTTAGTAAATCGTAAGCAATTGTGTAATTATCTGCTGTGATATCCAAAATGGTCGACAGCGTCCCGAGCGACACCTTTCAAGCAAGAAACTTATAGGTTAAATTTGTCAATCGCTTTTAAGTGGGGGACCGTGTGAACACGCGCATCAAATTGATCGAGAAAACTCCGAAACTCGGTAACTTCTCCGCTAAATGTCGGTAACTCAGGCTTGGGTAAATTTAAATATGCAGAGATGGGCAATTGTTCACCCGGTATAGCAACAGATTGCGTCGTCGGCTTCATTAAACGTTGCGTATAAATAGCTTGAATTCTATAATATTGAATATCGAATTTTTTCCGAAAATCATCCTCAATCTTGAATAGTTCATCCGCATTTTCCTTATCACATATGATTGATATAATTTTATTGTGAATTTTATAAAAATTTGTTCGAGTTTCCTCAAGTTCTTTATATATAGCTTCAAGAATGGGATAAAAACTTTCATCTTCGGCATTAACTTTCAGAGCAACATCGTATATTTCGTTCAATTTATGAATTTCAGTCGACCGGAGTACTTTATTCTTTTTATAATCACCCATTTTTTTTTCTTTTTTTTTTCAGTGAGTAAAAAATAAACGGTTCAAACCTAATAAAAACTGGTCAAACTCTTCACACACTAATATTAAATTATGTGTCCTGCTCTATTTACCTGACTAAAAATTAAATTATCTAAATGAACAACTGCGTATTGTATGAACGAAAGGTACATAAAAAGGGAATGCGAAGGTCATCAATTTTTTTTGTTTTGCTCAAGAATTAGATCTTGACAGAAAATGTTTAAATCCAATTTCAAGTAACTTAATTAAAATTGTGCCCTCTCCGTGGTAATAATCGAAATCAAAATAATGCGGATTGAAATAATGAATTTATTTTAATTTCTGTAAGAGAGAAATGTTTTCCGTTGCGTAGCTAAGGCTAAAAACTGTCGAATCCGGATCGTTAGGACCAAATAATTTCTTTTCGCGGAGTAACCACCGATATGAAAAGAAAATGGGCGGCGAGCTCGGAAGAGCTTTAAAGTGGACTGTAGGCTTTAAAGATTTAGAAATACTACCGATCGCCAAACGGGCCGCTAAAGAACTTTAAGGTCTCACCTTAAGCGCACGCCTCCGTCTCCTCAGCAGGCCTGCTTCCTCTTTGCTGTAAGTTTTGCTACTCAATTCGCAGAACTTACTGGTGTTACGCCACGGACAACATAAAAACGCACAACGAAAATCATTAGAATTAAAGTTCCCTTCGCGGAAAACGCGCCACAGATCTCGCTGCTACCGCACACGGAATGTTAATGCACTCCCGATCGGCTTGACCCAAATAAAACTTTAACGGCAATACCGCGGTAAAAAATGTTCCAGCAACTTAAATTTTTATTTGAGTACGCACAAAATTATTTGTCCCAAAAACCCGACTAAATATAAGAAAACTTTCTCTCTTTGCAAATTACCAAAAAATAAAATAATAAAAAAAATATATATATATATATATATATATATATATATATATATATATATATATATATATATATATATATATATATATATATATATATATATATATATATATATATATATATATATATATATATATATATATATATATATATATATATATATATATATATATATATATATATATATATATATATATATATATATATATATATATATATATATATATATATATATATATATATATATATATATATACAAGGACAGACGTGTGATATGTCCAGAATTGTTTTGAATTACTTTGTTGAAAATTGGGCATTTAGAATTGTTTTGTTGTGTTGCTTAGATTCCCGTAGAGGTTTTCGAAATTTTCAAATTAGGAAACATAAGCAATGCAATATAAGCAAGCAATGCAAGCAATTCCTCTAAAGAATCTGGTTGTTTTAAATGCATGTTGTTTTTTAGCGTCCCGGTGCATTTAGCTATGAATGTATTGAGCGCAATTTTGTTGTAATAATTTATATGGAAAAGTTTTTCTTTATGATCTAAATCTTCTGAATTACTAATCCGCTGTACACTACTCTTTAAAAATTGTAGTCTACCACCCAAATCAACTAAATGTTCATTTTTGAACGGCCTTGCTCTAGTCAATTCCTGAATTAGACAATATAAATTTCTCCTATCTTCAAAGCATTGAATAAGGGCATCTTGTATGCTTGATCAATCTGTGAATTCTGATCGGTTACCTATCATTAACTATGCTTTCCCTTCTGGTTTGGCTATGATACAATCGAAGATATGGCTATTTAGTTACGCATCTCCCAAACTAACGCAGGAATTTATTAACCTTTCGCACTTAACAATAAGGTTTTATGTTATCTACCTTTGATTTAAAAAGATTCCAATTAAATCTTGGTTTTGCACTACTCATACTACCTGAGCTTCCTTGTTGGGTCGTTGTTTTGACTCCTGTTTGTGTTTTGTTCTCTAACTTTAAAATTGAATTAAAATGTTTTTCGAGATTTTCGATTTCAGAATCGCTCATTTATGATTTCATTTGATTTGCTTTTCTCTTTTTCTTAACCTAATCGTGTGCAATGCGAGCCCTAAACTATCCCTTCAAGTGACCTTATACAGAGGTATCGGAGGGGCAAAAAGAAATGGCACTTACGGTTTCGTTTTTCTCCGTCTCCTTTCCGACTCAATTTTCCAACCCGTCACATGCAGGTTGTACCTTTGAGGACCATCCTTCTGCTTCCCTTGCTGCTGGTTCTGCGTGCTGAAGGATTTGAAAATCCACGTAGCGAAGGTCCAAAATTTGGAACTTTCCACGATTGGCGATTTCTCAGAAACTCCCAGAAGATTCTGGTTAATTGTCCGTTCCGACTGCGCCACTTAAATGTTCAAGATTCGGGAGAGCGTTTTTAAAAACATTTATTTATGCAGAAAGCAAAATAAAGTTTTATTCGGTCTAGTCGATAAAAAGGCTGAAATAATTAAGAGCACATTTTACACTATGACAATCGAATAAATAGGGCTTTTGATGCGGTGTCAGTGATGCGTCATATTCGCTTAAGCTTTGTTCTTCGTCTTCTGTTTGGGGCATATAATTCGCAGCAGCTTTTTGTTCCGTCATTGCTATCGCAAAATATTAACAGCGTCTTATTATTTACATAGATTATGCGCGACCTCGGTGACCTAATCACCTCGCTCCGCGGTATAAACGCAACACCGTCGGCCGGGCTCTCCTCCCGCGACGTAAAGTACAGGGGGCGAAAAACAAAATCCAAATAAAACACAAACAAAAAATACCCCCTACCCCATTAAGGGTGACATCTGGCGGTCAAAAAAAGCTAGCTGAACTAAATTAAAGGGTTGCTTGGGAAGCTGTAATGCTTAGGGGTGACATCTGGCGACCAAAACCTGAACAATTAGTGCGCGACATCTCTCGGACACTGACCGAACTAAATTAAAAGGTTGCTTGGGAATGTCGAAAATTTGCTATCTAGTGATCTCCCCCGGGCGGCGGGGGATGCGGAACTCACGAAAAATAACTACTGATCAACAATGTTACATCCACTGAGTAACCTGTGACTCTCAAACCCGTGACTAAAATTCCGGAAATGTCCGGGGTGACTCCCGACCGTGGGTAACGAATCTAACGTTTTAACATGACACTTTTTGAACTCTTGATCCTTGTATAATTGGGCATTTTAGAGTTTAGGAATAGAAAAATATAATTATAGGTTTGCTAAAATGAAAACTATGATATGTGGTCAACATAAAAATTTATTAAAATACAAAAACTAATCAAAACATAAAATTAATGTGATAGTTAACTCCAATCTTCGTTAATTAGCTTGCCAGCATTTAGTCCAATTGCCAAAGAAATGGCATTGGTATTTCCACTTATAATTCTGGGCATAATGCTTGCATCGGCGACCCTTAAATTACTAATTCCACGAACTCTCAACCTTGGATCCACTACGGAAGTTGGGTCCGAATCCGGTCCCATCTTGGATGTTCCCACTGGGTGGTATAAAGTGCTCCCTAAAGTTCTGATAAAACATTTCCAGTAATCATCTGTATCGAATTCCAATTCTGGGCAATTTGGAAGTATTAAGGGAACTGTTGTCGCATTAAGTTTTCGTAGTGGATTTGTCTGCAGTAATCTTTGGGTATACCTAAAAAGTTGCCAACATTTTATTGATATTTTTCTTTTCTCAAACATTGATTTAATAAAGATGAGGATTGATAATTATTTTGTTGTGTTTGCGTTCACTTGACGTCGAACCCGGAAAGGGAGGGGTGATTACAAATGCGATGTGAGAGACGACTGGAATATGTGACTCCATCTCGAGGAGGCGGTGCGGTCTATAGAAGCAAATCATTGCTCCATAGTCAGTCAGTCGGAAGAGTGAAATTTAGAGCGTGGAAACATTAATAAGCTACTAATATAATTAATAGACGTACTATAAATTTGTAGTATGCTCCAAGTGAATGGTAGTTTGGCTTTAGCTGTTAGCAGCTTCTTTAGTTTCACCGTCTCGTTGGATGAACCAGAACGATATAAGTTGATTTTAAAACGAAAAAATATTAATCGGTTAATCAAATTGACTACATTGATTTTTATTTTAACATACAAAGAGAGTTTTAAGTATTTTGAAAAAAAAAAACAGATGTTGATCATTACTATAAAAAATATTAACAATGTTGGTAAATCTAGCAGATTTTAATATTCCTATACCCTTTCTTCACATTTTGTATGATATATAGCAGCCCTGGTATAATATTATTTATTTGTTATATTTTATTAATTATTTTATTTCTAGGTTAACAAGTTAAAAATTTAATTAATTTAAACAGTTTTTATCTCTAAAATGGAGTTAAAATTGGAAATCCATTCTTCATACATTTCCCAAGGACACGGTAAACGAGATTTTTTTTATTTTAACTAACTAAACTGTAATAATTACCTTACGCCCTCCAAAAGTGTTTCCAGATCGTAGTCATTTTCATCCGTAAGATATCCGGAATATATCAAAGGTTTATCTAAAGGATTAGTGCTATTGAGCAAAATACTACCTCTAGATTCTGGCTTCAGTAAAATTGAATAGAAGCTAGCACTGGCATTTAATCGATTTATTTCGACATATTGTTGGGCAATTTCTGGTGAGTAACCTGTAACTCTGAGAAATGCTGGTAGCCCATTTTGGTCGCCAGGAGGGTTAAAGCTTTCGACTACTTGCATATTAGGATAAATTGAGTTGTTCTTCGTATTAATAAATCCTTGAAGGTTGGACATACCTAACGTACCAACGGGGCCAGTACGATATGAAAAATATTGATATAAATTATCAATTGCGGCTGAGCGGGGCTGATTTGTTACCGCGGATCCATTCATTTGTACAGGTACAGGTATATATAAATGATCTTGCAGATTTTGTCCAACTGGCAAATCTTGAAGGACTTTAATTCCAAGATCATTGAGATGAGATAGAGGGCCCACCCCAGACAACATTAGTATTTGTGGCGTATTTATACTACCAGCAGATACAATTACTTCCTTCGAGGCGTTAATTTCTAGAAGATCATCCCCAACTTTGATTTGCACACCGGTCGCTTTTAAGTCTTGGTCTATTAGTACTTTGGTAACAGTTACGTTAGTGGCGACGAACAGGTTTGTCCTATTTTTTACTTGACCTACAAATAAGCAGCTATTAATAAAGGATATTATCTGTATTGAGCAGCAACCATTAAATGTCATGCACATGTAAAAATTTACTAATACGGAAAGATTCTGGAACACTTTTTATGGATGACAATGTTTGATCAACTATGATTCACCCGATTCTAATTTGCACTAGCAGCTATTGGTTTTTACAACCCTAGCACTCTTATTCCTAAACTGTTATTAACGTTCCAGTACCATATTTGAACTTTTAGAGATGCAATATTTTGAAATATTTTTTCAATCCGGAAGTACAGGGTTATTGATTACATCTTGACCCCTTCGGTAACTTATATTGTATTAAAAAATACCATGTTTTTCTTCTTCTATGGAAGTATTTCGAATAATATGAATACTGAAGTCTAATGTTTGCAACGCCAAATATAGAAAAATACATAGATAGCTTTGTAATCAATTGTTGTCAAAGTGGTGAAACTCGCAATAAATTTTTGGAAATAATTTTGCAATCATTAAGAATTGTAAAGTAACCAAACCTTAATGAGAATTTGTTACATTAAAGGACATTGCTATAAGACCTCGAAGTTTGATTACGTAATTTTCTAAAATTTACAACAGATAATGTTTCATACCGACACCACTGGTTTTATTTTTTAACTGGCAGAGAATTTTAGCATAATTAAGGTTACCCAAAAATCCTCTTGCTGCGTTAGCTCGAACCCCATTGTTAATTGTTACCAAGGCCTGAAAATATCCAAGAGGGCTCAAAGGATTTTCAGTTAGAAGAGTGGGATAACCCAACTCGCTAGCCCCATCAGTGATGGCTCGAGAAACCAAATTATTGTTGTCATACCAACTGAAATAAAAAAAACAAAATCATAAACATTGCAATCTTCATAACATTTGTAATAACAAAAACCTCAAAACTTGAGATGTGAATTAAGTAAAATTGTCTTTAGGTGCCTACATATAGCGAAATGTCAAAATGCTATAAAATTTTATCGTTTTAATTTCTGATTCTAAGGTAACATTTTATATTATGTTTTCTTCTCGTAAGACCATTCCCTTCCCATCCCTTCGAATCAGAAGTGGGTGAAATTGGTCAACTTACTTCAACCACTTGCTTATCTTAAAATTACAAATTATTTGAACTGAACGTAATCCTTCATTCCAATTTGAATAACCAAAAACCAACCTTATGATTTGAAATCCATCCTTCCCGTATTCCGCATTGCTGTTATTGGGTTGTGAAATCACGTGTTCATTTTCTAAATACAACTGCAATATGCTTTCATAATCCCAACCGACATTTCCTAAAATACCACAAAAACTTTAAAAAGATACATGCAATAATTACTTATATCACACCGTGTGCAAACGTTTTTCCGTGGATATAGAACTAAAGAATAAACAGGGTCTTCCAAACTCGATAGCCTATTGGAAGTATATGGAGAATAAAAAAAATAAGCATAAAATTGGTTGCAGGCGTCGGAGGCTATGACCTCTATTTCTAATATATTCAGGACGTTACACAAAATATTTCATGTATTCCATTCAAAAAATAAAGTTGGCATCTGCAATGTCCCATATATTGTAACAATAAAGATCACGGCTTGCTATGTCCGCAACTCAATTTTTAAGTACCCATTTTTCCCGTTATCTACATACATCTAGTAAGCCATCGCGTTTGGAGAAGCCTGTATATATCGGCGTCATACACAATTCAAGGAATATTTAGTTACATATCAATTTAATCCTTCATATTTTGATAAAAAGAGATCCACAGAGATTTATACAATAAACTCTATTCATGAGCGTCATATAACTAAGATATCTCAGATTGTGTATTAGTATCACTTTTTGGAACCGGAACCCATATCCTTCCCCCACACCTTGACGTATATTACAAAACGAAATGTGAGTCATAATTGAATTTAACTTTATCTATCCAGATAGAAATGTGCAGAAGTGTTGACCGAACAGAATTAAATCCAGTTTTGTCGAGAAAAATAAATCTCTCAAATCCTATCTATCTAGCTAATACTTGTTTACTAAGATGGTAGTAAATGACAGTTACCGGTTTTTTATGCATTATGATTGTTTAATGTATTTAAAAAATAATATATGGAAACTTGCAGATGAATTTGAATAGAAAATAGAAACTTATTATCAAATGAATACGTATAAGATCGTCTTCTCCTAAGGAGCTATATCCGTAGATAAACTTAATTATATATATATATATATATATATATATATATATATATATATATATATATATATATATATATATATATATATATATATATATATATATATATATATATATATATATTCTCACGTATTGATTCACGGATGGAAAAATGTGATGACACTATATTCCGGGATATCATCCGTTCGCTCGTTGAACTCCGACTGGAATCCTGCAAATCTTGCATCCGACTGGAATCCTGCAGACGTTTCGCCAAAATCTCACTTGGCATCTTCAATGCTCGCGTTCCGAAAACACTTCGAACAGTGTTTATAGTGTAGTAGAATATAGTGTCATCATATATATATATATATATATATATATATATATATATATATATATATATATATATATATATATATATATATATATATATATATATATATATATATATATATATATATATATATATATATATATATATATATATATATATATATATATAGAGTTACATACATTATCTCAAACGTAAGGAGATCGCAATGATCAAGGTAAAAAAGTCGACTGAACACAACCAAATTCAACTTAGAGTCAGATTTTCAATAGCCAAAACCGAGCTTTTAATTTAATTAATTGTTAACTGCCAATCTCAATAAAGCTGCTATATGATGGTAACTTAGAAATATTGATCTTACCCAAGTCCGCCCATTCGTCATAATCTCCCTTATTTCCTCTGATATACATCATGGCGTTCATAGAACTGCAACCGCCTAGCAGTTTTCCACGAGGCCAACGACACCTTCCGTCTATATAACCAAAACAGGAAGTGTTGGATGGTTCAGTCAGATACATCCAGTCTTCTCGACTTTGTTGCACACCATATGCAGTTGACGGTATCTGCAAAATGTAATAAAATGTAAAATGTTAATCTTAATGTTAAAATTAATTCAATATATTTCACATTGGAGTAGATATAAAGAATATCCCAAGCTTTAAATGTCAATAAAATAAGGTAAATATTCTAAACAAAGATAAACAGATAATAGTATTAGTAGAAGTAGTAAACTGATAATAGTTAAATTAAATTAGGTTAAATTATACATTATCAAAAATTATCTTTACATATACAAACTAATTCGTAAGGATTCTTTCGATTACCAACTAAATAGCTGCTGCATATGATATGTCGATTTCCCTACAAATACGTAGCTAGTTTCAAGATGACGTTTATCATCTCCGTAAGATTGCCATTTATATCTCTTATCCAAAGATAGAGTGCACTTAAGTTAGTGTTCTCTTTTGTACGTGTTTATTTTATAGTCCTCTGTTTCTTGATTTTTAGTATTTTGTAGTTAATGGCTCCAAGAAAATTGGTATAAAAGGGAAAGCGATCGTTCACATGATGTGTCTCATTCTGAAATTACGTTCACTTTGAACGCTAACCTATTTTTCACTTCAACGTAAATATCATACAAATGTAGTCGAAATAACTAATTGTGCAAAATATTATTTTTGACAACCTTAGAACCATTTCAATAGGTATCATAAAATATTTAATTTTAGGAACATATTCTATGTTTTGTTTCAAAACAATTGCGAAAAACTTAAGGGGGTAATAATTCATATAGCTACTAGAGATAGATATAAAGCCCCTGTCTATGCTGATAATAAAGGAACTCATGAAGCTGCTATGAAAAAAATTTTTTTTTAACAAATCACTTTGTGGTATTCAACAACCAACATGGCAGCGGACAGAACGTCAATAACTTTGGATGCGGCATTTTTTAGCAGTATTTTCTCAAAATATGTCCAGGTCCTACTAAATCTTTAGGCAAAACGAAGTTAAGGGGTGGATATCGCTGTTTAGGAAGAAAATGGCGCAAAGTGCAGGTTAGTGGGTAAAGCGTAGAGGCCTGCGCATCGAGTTTTACCGTAGCAGAGCCACTATACTATCTAAAAGCTGTATGGAATGATGCCGTGGACATATCGCACACAATTATGGCGGAAAATAAGGATTTTATTTTTTATCATAAAACCGAATATTATAGAAGTATTACTATTATAAAAAACACACACACACACATGAGTGAATTAAATTAGTCTGTCTCTATCATTCTTCTTAAAATTTAAAGGAAAACTTATGCGATGACATGGAAAAAATATTTTTGTAGACATGTTTTTTAAAAACTTTTTTGTCGTCTGACTTGCAGTTTCCAAGTTTTCAAAAATTGTATAGAATTGCTTTAAGAAAAAAGAAAAATAAATTAATTGAGTTCTGTCAAACAGTGCACTTAGCTTCTGAGCAATTACATTTTAAACATAATTTATCAAGAAACAGTTATGCGTAAGACGACAAGCTTCTAAAGAATTTCCGTTTGCCATTTCTGCAGTGTAAATCACCATTATTGAATCGAAAGTCTTATTATGGAACAATTAAAAGGTTTAATATGTAAATTGTTGATTAAATTAGTCGTATTTTGCATTCAAACTAACTGAGCAATGTTAAATAAAGAAATAATAAGAAACGCCCTAAAGAATGAAGGTAGCTAACTAGAGCTTTTCTTATTTTTTCTTCTCTTTTCTTATCTCGTTGTGTTGCTTTAGATTTTATTTTTTATTTGTAAAAGGTTTCTCCTGAAATTTAATTAAGAACAATGATTGAGGTATTCTAATTTAGTCCCCACTCATTTAAAAAATATAAAAATATATGCGCAAAGTATGTTTTTTTAAAATAGTAATATTATATACATTGTTCTACCTATAATTGTTTTTAAGATAAAAACTATAAAACTAATTTTCTTGTAGCCCGATATCTCTCTAATAGTTCACTTTTGGCCCAACGTTTATATAACCCTACTACCATTTATTTTAAATAAATAATCATCCCCTTAACTCATAATATTCCTGTATACTTATGGAATTGTAGTAATAGAAGTGTGTTCAACGCTGGGGATATCAGGACAAACCATATAGCTATTAGATAAAATAGTGAGCCTTCTACAGTAAAAATTGATAAGCTGCATGCATCATTGATATTTTCGTAAAGAAAGCAATGAATTTCCACGCATACATCTACATTACACCCAGTAACCTGCAATTTGCGGCATTTTCTCTCTCTATAATTTTTTATGTATTTCGACAAAATAAAAGGTGTCAGTGGCCTTGTTGGTTGTCGAATATTGCAAGATCTTTGGTTAGAAACGAGATTTTAAATCTCGCACCTGCGCATGTTGAATGTTTTTTACATAGTTGCTTCATGAGTTCCTATACTATCAGTATAGGCAGGGCCTCTAGATGTCTAGTAGCTATATGAGACAAACTGATATTTAATAGGGATGAAACTCACTTATTGCCAAGTACTTACATCACTATTCGCGGAAGGATAGATGCCTGCTTCTAAAACCAATACTAGTCGATCGCTTTGTTCGGAAAGTGTGTTGGCAAGGACGGAACCCGAAGAACCCGCACCTATTATTATAAAATCAAATTCGTCGCCGTCACCCAAATTCGAACTATAATCTTCCGGATAGGAGTCTAAAATACATTAAATAAAGCCGTTAATAATCCGATCTCCTGCCGTCGAACCGAGAAAGAAAAAAAGATGCAAACCACTCACCTTTGGAACCAAGGGGGCATTGAGCGGCCGTTAAAGTATTTATCAAAGTTAAAAATAGTTGCAATGACCCAGTTTCAAGATTAGACCCGCAAGGGGTTGTTATGCCACTAATAATATCCATCCTTTCTAAAAGTAAATGAGCAAATAAAAATAATTATAAATACAAAAAAAAATTATTTGCTTTGTGAAGAAATTATTCAAAACTTAGTCCAGATTAATTTCCACTAAATAAAATATATCTTAAAGGTTTATATTTATTTCAAATAGAATTTCAAATTGTTGAATTTCTTGTTCCCAAAGAAGTATTCAGGTGTTTTAAAAAACAAATGACAAATATGATAAATTGGTTAAGGATTTCGCGGCCCGTTGATAAGCTATTAACTTCATTCGGGTTTAAAGGCCGTCGTCGATTGGAATTACTTCCTAACGTTTCGCTAGCACGAGTGGCGAGCTTCTTCAGAGGTCCTTCCATCTCCGATGTTGGACGTAGACTGACGATTTCTCCTGCGCAGGTTGTATTTATGCCGATTGGTGGAGGGCGGGGCTTGTTCCGCTTCGGTTGGTCTCGGGATATCGATCGGTACTGCTCGGGCGTTCCTAAGGATCGGGTTCCAGATTTGGTTGAGTCTAAGGGTCTCCTCCTTTCGGTTGAAATTGTGTGGGTGTTTTTGAATCTCAATGGCTTCCCTGACTAGTCTGTTGTGATAGCCGTTGACCGATGCTAGTAACTTACAGCTCTCAAAGTGTATCCTGTGTTCCCCGCTGCCCAGTGCGTGTTCAGCCACTGCAGACTTCTCTGTATGTCCTAGCCTGCAGCTTGCTTTATGCTCCTTAAGTCTCGTTCCCATTGATCTCTTGGTAGTTCCGATGTAGACCTTTCCGCATGAACACGGAATGCGGTAGACTCCCGCAGCTGAAAGTGAGCCCCTCTTGTCCTTCGCTGACCTGATGGTCTGCTGGATCTTCTTTGTAGGCTTAAAGATTGTTTTGATGTCGTGTCTATTCAATACTCTGCCAATCCTGTCAGTGACACTCGGAATATACGGCAGATTTGCGTGGGAGGTGGAGGGTCGTTGTTCGGTATCCCGTGATCTTGATGATCTTGAGTTCATTGATCTCTCGATCTCCCTCTTACTGTAGCCATTCGTCTCGAACGCAGTTTTTAGGTGTTCAAGTTCCATCTGGAGGTTCTCCGGTTCGCAAATCCTTCGGGCTCGTTCTATCAGGGTTCTGATAACCCCATACTTTTGACTTGGGTGATGGTTGGATAGAGCATGCAGGTATCTGTCCGTATGGGTTGGTTTGCAACTTTCTGCAGCATCTCAACAGTCAGCATCTCAGCATCCAGTTTACTATGGAGACTGAAAATGACCAACAACTTGCATTCTTGGACGTACTAGTGAGGAAGCGAGGTAACAAGCTGGGCCACACAGTTTACAGAAAACCAACCCATACGGACAGATACCTGCATGCTCTATCCAACCATCACCCAAGTCAAAAGTATGGGGTTATCAGAACCCTGACAGAACGAGCCCGAAGGATTTGCGAACCGGAGAAACTCCAGATGGAACTTGAACACCTAAAAACTGCGTTCGAGGCAAATAGCTACAGTAAGAGGGAGATCGAGAGATCAATGAACTCAAGATCATCAAGATCACGGGATACCGAACAACGACCCTCCACCTCCCACGCATATCTGCCGTATATTCCGAGTGTCACCGACAGGATTGGCAGAGTATTGAAAAGACACGACATCAAAACAATCTTTAAGCCTACAAAGAAGATCCAGCAGACCATCAGGTCAGCGAAGGACAAGAGGGGCTCACTTTCAGCTGCGGGAGTCTACCGCATTCCGTGTTCATGCGGAAAGGTCAACATCGGAACTACCAAGAGATCAATGGGAACGAGACTTAAGGAGCATGAAGCAAGCTGCAGGCTAGGACATACAGAGAAGTCTGCAGTGGCTGAACACGCACTGGGCAGCGGGGAACACAGGATACACTTTGAGAGCTGTAAGTTACTAGCATCGGTCAACGGCTATCACAACAGACTAGTCAGGGAAGCCATTGAGATACAAAAACACCCACACAATTTCAACCGAAAGGAGGAGACCCTTAGACTCAACCAAATCTGGAACCCGATCCTTAGGAACGCCGGAGATGGAAGGACCTCTGAAGAAGCTCGCCACTCGTGCTAGCGAAACGTTAGGAAGTAATTCCAATCGACGACGGCCTTTAAACCCGAATGAAGATAATAGATTAAATGACAAATATATTTCAGCAAAACTTATGAGCATAATTTACAAAACAGCTTCAAAATATTCGTAGAATAACCCATCATATTGTCTTGAAACTTGATATTTTCGCATTGAACTTTGACGAAGCTCCGAAACTTTGGCTTTTGACAGTAATTCTATGGTGAGTCTAAGAATACAAGTCTTAAGCCAATAATATGTCATTTTATAGCTGAGTGGATGTACTGATAGTGAGAATGAACGTAATCCAAAAAAACAAATTTCAACTATGTTATAGAAATCCGTGCTTTTTATAATTTCATTGGCAATAGGTATATCTAAGGAAAACTTGTTGATACTTCACCTCCTCAACAATTTTCATTCAATTCAATTTGATTCACTTTTCACCCACTACTGAATGGCCAGGTATCCATTTTTACGTGGTTAAATAGCTGCGATAACATTATCATATCATGCAGGAACAACTCGTGGCTCTCAGTATGAAGTGTAGTCACTTATAAGAAGTCGCAATAATCCAAAATGCAAATCATCTGAAAATAAAGCAACCACAGATCGAAAACAAAGTAGAAAATTGAGCAAAGTGAACGCGAATCAAAATGCGAAACCAAACAAAAATTATAGTATATATATATATATATATATATATATATATATATATATATATATATATATATATATATATATATATATATATATATATATATATATATTGAAATGATTAAAAATTACTAGTGCAAGTCAATATAACATACAAAGTGATTTAAAATAGTATAAAAATAGATGCACAACAATAAAACATACATAATTTTTTATATTACGATTAAATACCTTAAGCCAAAAATCAACGGTTCACTATATAGTTGTTTGGTAACTCACAGTTTTGCAACATTCACAACAGACATATCGAATATGTAAATCGACAAGCCACATTAATAAGACGAACCAAAACAATAATGCGAAGCACGGATGTACGTTTCTTCACGGTAGGACAACGGAGTTTTTTGTTTTTTTTTTTTATTTTTTTTTGGTTTGTGTGAAATTCACGTTTTAATTTATCTCTTTATTTAATTAAGTTATAATAAATTTTGCAGAGATTTTTTGTGTCAGTCTTAGAATTTATGGCGTTTGGATTTTTTTGGATCTCAATCATTTCATAAAATTCCCGTCTTTTTGTGTGGCTTTCTGAGCGTAAAATTTTCACACTTTGAAAGTCAAACGAGTGCTGATTCTCCTTGGAATTGCTCGAAAGAGCAGTGTTATTTTTTTTGTCATATTTATGGCCATTTAAGCGACTTTTTAAGTAATGACTAGTTTGTCCGATGTAGACACCGTTACAATGTTGTATATATTTATATATATATATATATATATATATATATATATATATATATATATATATATATATATATATATATATATATATATATATATATATATATATATATATATATATATATATATATATATATATTCACGTATTGATTCACGGATGGAAAAATGTGATGACACTATTTTCCAGGATATCATCCGTTCGCTTGTTGAACTCCGACTGAAATCCTGCAGACGTTTCGCCAAAATCTCACTTGGCATCTTCAATGCTCGCGCTCCGAAAACACTTCGAACACTGAACACTGAACACTGAACAGTGTTCGAAGTGTTTCCGGAGCGCGAGCATTGAAGATGCCAAGTGAGATTTTGGCGAAACGTGTGCAGGATTCCAGTCGGAGTTCAACAAGCGATGATATCCCGGAATATAGTGTCATCATATATATATATATATATATATATATATATATATATATATATATATATATATATATATATATATATATATATATATATATATATATATATATATATATATGGTGCTCGTATATATGTATTGTTGGTTATTTGAACTAGAATAGGCTGGTTTCTATCGCATGATTAGTTATATAATGACACTACCAAAGAATGGTTCATGATGATACATAACGATTCACAATTGTGACCAGTGCCATCAACTAAAAAGTGTTGAATACCGTCTCTCCTCAAGCTGATGTTTTTACCTCGGTTTTAAATATCAACTTAATTAAATACAACTGTAGAAGAATAAAATAATGCTCTTAGTAAGCAAGTAAACTCTTATCCAACGTTTGTGACAAAACATATATTTAAGATGTTGAAAGTACTTACTCTCACTGGACAGTTTTATCAAATAAGAACACTTTCGAGAATACTGGAAGTTCACTTCAATTCAGCTCTGGCAAATTTGTCTGTAACTACTCTAATAATTGACATGCAGTTTGCGACTGCTCATTATTTCTATGTTAGGACGGGTACAGGAAAAAAATCGCTTTAAAGCATATTATAAATAGTTTCAAAAGAGTTGTAAATCATTACTGAAAAATTTATATCTATCTAACCAACACTAATAATGAGAAATATTGATTAGCATAGTGACCATACTTATTCCTGATATTCGTACAAGAACACTTCAAACTTGAATATGCAGCGAACACAATATGAGAAATATTTTTCTCTCTAACTTTAGTTAGTTGCAAAATTGCTTACTAAAAACTTTTTGTCTTAACAAAAACCTTTCTTAAGAATATTAAAGAAAATTTAAATTTAGGCCATATCTTTGCTATTTAATTTGTGTATATTTTCTTTAGTTTGGTTATCTTGAAATTTTATTTTCCTTTTTCTTTTCTTTCTCTCCTTATAAAACACACCAAGGTTGTTACTAAAATTAAATATTTGATAGTTAGATATATAAAATATTCTACAATCTAGATATTAAATATATTTTTTTATACCTCAAAAATTTCTAGTCAAATTGCTCTGGTTCCATATGGGAATGTATCTATGTCAGGAAAATATTGTAGGCGATTATTAGCAGAGTAGGTTACTTCTTGGCATGTTAATATTCCACAATTATTTGGGTTATTTTGTAATATTTCGTAACATCTTGTGAATATTATCTTTCTACTTTTTTTGGAATAACAATGAACGCTTAAAAAAAATTCTAGAATCAGTACGTGTGTACGGTAAGAGGTTTTTTGATAAAAAGCAACCAGATACAACATCATCATTAAGTGTGAAAACAAATTTGGTTATTGCGACTGTTGTTGAAGACTATATAGGATGATATAATTCCATAATATTATTATAAAACATCAATAACAATACTAATTCCTGGCTAAATATTTAACTTGACTTGGGCATAAGAAATCCAAAAAAGAATTTGGCGCATTGAGCATTTTTAGTAAAAACAGTTTTGTGTAAAAGTTTCAGAAATGGTAAGAACTCATATTGCGTACGAATGTAGTTCTCATACCTACCTAACGTGTACAACTCCCCCCTCCTCCTGTAAAACATACTTTCTCTTTAGCATTGCAGCAAGCCTCAAACTGTATTCGAACATATATTGAATAAATATTTGAAAAATATTTTCAATTATACAGCGTGCTTCATGAAAACGTGGCAATCAAAAAAAATATTTGTAAATGGAAAACGGTATATATTTTTGCATATTACGATTCCTTCAAGAAAAGTCACCGCGATTCTAATTGAATTGTAGTGCTACGTTGAAAACCTATTGATAAAAAATAGAAAATTTTGAAGAAAATGTATTTTGCAACGATTTCATATTATCTTTCAGTCTGCCGCATTTGTAATATTAAGAGCGGACCATAATACAGCCAAAGCATTAGTAGAAGCATAGTAAAGCATCTAAAAACTAGATTATTATAAATTCCATTTTATTCAAATCATTATATTTAAATAAGTAATCAAACAACGAGAACACCCCATCTCATTACGGAGTCATTTTTTTCAATTGTAAAATTTGCCTCACTTTTCTATCATGTCGTTGCTACCTGGTAACGAAAACCAAAAAAGTATCTTAATAACCGTCTCGTGGCTTTGGCTTTGGCAATAAACATACTTCCAAGTTTTAAAGGTCGTGATCGCCACGTTCCACTTGAGAAAAATAATCGAGAACAATATTTTTTGCAAAATCATCCACTTTAAACATTTGAAACAGAATAAAAAAGATATAACCGTAGAGTATTAGACAAGATCATGTAGCCATCACCTTCATCTTCTGATATATATGATTTGATATCTATTACAAAATTTAAACAAAATATTTCACTAAAAATAATAACAAAATTCCACTTACCTTTAATTTAAATTGATCATTTTAAACAGTACATCGATTTTCAAAAAAAAGGCACAAATTCTCTAGATAGAAAGAAAATTCTCCTGTCTCACGTGAATCTATACCTGAAAGATATATAGATGAAATTGCAGACTAGTGTTATCGATATCTCGAAATCTATCAAACTTAATCTTTAATTATTCAAAAATCGAAACCATCAACAAAAGTATTTTAAAAAATTAATGTATTTAATTGCAAACCAGTAAAAATAGAAAAGACTTTATTGCTGGATTCTTTCGGTAAAATGTTATTGGGGTGGTATGAAAACAACCTTTTGAAATATTTATGTGAACTCTTCGATATTAAAATGACATTTTCAAGTGTAGATCAGTTTGAATCAAATACTCTTAAACAATTTCATGCTACCATTAGTGAACTGAATAGACTTAACCCAGCCGAGACTCCCACTGCTGTTATTTGTTTCAATACTATAAAAATCATACTCACGATTTTACCCAATACGAATTCATTCAGAAATAATTTACAACGAACAAAAACTAGTTTCTAAATACGTTTCAGATTTCGAAAATAGTATTTCAAATTATTATAAAATTTCTCTTGAATCAACAAAGTCAGAAAAAAAAATAAAAAAAAAGATTTGACTAAAATGTATAGCAAAATCTTTCAGAAGTTAAAATCAATAATAAAATGTATAAATGATATTATTATTCAACGGCCCTTTTATTATTAATGAACTGCGTACAAACTCCGCACTTTTACAAATTAGCAAAACAATCGGACTTTTCTTCCACGACGAATTAAGAATAAAAAAGCTATCGAATACAACGACATTTTGGAAAATTCAAAGGGCCATTATTCTCTGGAAACAAAATTGAAAATATAAATTACGAATATGAAGAACTAATTTCCGGTAACAAAATTTTTGATTTAAGTTTTAAACGAGGCATTTTAAATTGACTTGGAACTGTTTGATTAATAAAATTAGTCTTGATGAACAAAATATTGAATGACTAATACAAAATCAAATATCGGTAAGAAGACATGTTCCAACATCCTTTCCCATCCGATCGATAGCGAGGCTATTTGTGAAGAACAGCTTCTTAAACGTCAATCGAAGTTACCAAAAGCTTGTCATACTTCAGAATAAGTACATTTTTATGTGATTCTCATGTAGCTATAGGAAATGCCCCATCTTATTTGTAAAGTAGACTAGGGGTAGGG